AACGGAAACCATACATAGTCTTCGAACTAGTTTCTTCTTACTTCATTGTATTTATGGATTTAAAATCCCCATCCAAATGAGGGGTGATTATTAGTCACACTAGACAAGGAATAGCTGCTTGTAATCTAAAATTTATTTACAGTCGGTAAAATATGGGAAAGACTAGTTTGTCTCCAGAGTATAATGAATCGACCATAATAACTCGAATAGCACTCAAGTGTCGATTTATTTCGCGCAACTTCCCCCATTTATATATTTGAATATAGAGAGAAGAAATATTGTATCACAATAGCGTGAGTTTATGATTTCGCCTTAATCATTAAAGTCACTGAATCGTCTGATAATAATTCGAGCATTAGCTTGAGTCAAATTGAGAATGAGGCATTTTCACTCGGATTTAAATTTCATATTTTGAGGAACCCAGTTTGAGAATTTTTATGACCAGTTGTCGGAAGCGAAAGTAACATGAAGGAAAACAAGATTGGCTTAAAAATTGATTCGTTGATATTGCTAATCAATACACGACATGTCAAATCCCACAGTTGAAAGTTTTATCTAAAGAGCACCAAACAACCTTGAAAAACTTAATGCATAATGAAAATATCGTTATTCTCCAACGTGATAAGAGCTCTGATAGACGAAGAAAGCTATGTTAACAAAGTTAAGACGATTCTATATGGTACTGTTAGTATCTTAGTTGACTGATCGAAAAAAGATATGTCTGAAGCAACAGAGAGACATATCACAAGCAAGTTTAGAGATCTTTGAATAGAAATTTAATTAATAATCAAACATAATGTCCTGAAACATCGGGTATACAGATTACCTTATTTGTATGGACAACCAAAATTACACAAACCTGATATTTCCGTTAGACCTATCATATTGATGATCAATTTTCCACCTCACAAACTTGCTAAGTGTTTAGGGAACATATTAGAACCTATTCTCTCGAAGTTAACTGTCCATAGTTTGGAAGACACCTTTCAATTTACTCAGATGCTAGAAAATGTTAACATCCTTGGTAAATTCATGGTTTCACTTGATATTTCACCACTATTTACCTCAAGAAACCATACAAATTATATGTTAACATGGTGAACTACTTTCCTTACCGAAAGATGACTTCAAGCAACTACTACTGATGTGTAACAAAAATGTTCAAACCAATGATATCCTGTACCATCAAGTTGGTGGACTGGCCATGGGCACTCTGCTGGTTCAATCCTAGTAGATATCCCTTTGTTGTGCTAATGAGGTATGGCAACTTTGACCGATGCACATATGTGCCTGGTCCTACGTTGTAGCTGACTGACTGATTAACTGTCTAACCTAGAACAAGCTGTTATGAAATTGACAGTCAGTGCATACCGTTGTACGTCAGGTATGTGGATGAAAAATTTGTTGCATGTAATTATTCTCATCATAATTCTAGTATACTAGAACCTTTCAACAGAGCATTTCTTAACATTGGATTTACAATGGAATGTGAACATGATGTCATATTTCGTTTTCTAGATCTTAGTACTATACGTAATTCAAATGGCCAATTAGAAAGATATATTTATCAAATGGACACATGGAGTGGGCTATACTTGAACTTCTAAAACTTCTTTCCGATAAGCTACAAAAGAGCTTTGGTTAGAACGCTGTTTAACCGTGTAAGCAGATTATACTCTGAGGTTAGAAATTAGTGGGAAGTAACCATGGTTGAACGTTGCCCACTTAAGAACGGTTATCTGCAAAAACCCATAAGCAAATACTATAAAAAAGGAAGTGGAATATACTAAAGTTCAGAAAAAGCCTGTCTTCTTAAAACTTGGCTTCAAAGGTGATGAAATAGCTGGAAGGATTGATTTTTATATTAAAGGCAATACTTAAAAGAACGTATCCAGGGACCATGTTGATGTCTCTGTACAAAACTAAATCCTCATTGAGGCAGTCAGATGTGGACAAATATCCACCTTATGTTACCCCCAACTGCATTTACTAGCTGACGTGTACATACCAAAGCACATATATTGGAAGAACATCGTGTTTGCATCCGCATTTTCGAACATATTCAATAAATTTGAGACTGAATGGACAGGTTTTCAGTAGTGTAATCGCTCATCATAGACATGATGCTGAAGTTGAGAAATTTTCCAAAATAATCAACAAACAAATAAACACCAAACTATTACTCTTTGCCGAAGCTATTGCAATAAAAAGATTCAGACTGAATTAATGTACCCAGAAAGAAAGTTATAAATCTCGTTCTATGCTGGTGACCTTATTTTCGTGGGATTATTACGTACATTATTTTATTCTCACATTTCAACTCAGTTTATTCTAAATATTTCCGATATAAAGTATGTGTACTTATTTCGTTTTAATGATTAATACTATGGTTTTAAGCTGTATGCACCTGAGGAGAATCCACAAAATAAATGAATCCGTGTGTCGATTTAGTTATGTAGTAACTAGTGAAATGCACCTTATTCGGTTATATACAATAATCACATGAATTATAAGAAACTTTCTCTACATAAATCTCGTTTGGTTTTTGTGAAACCATGCATCTCGAATATTTTATTTCGGAAATTTGTTTCATGGGTTGTGCTCTATAACTGATTGACTAAAATTGAAATTATCAGACATCAAAATAGGCACTATCTTTCTATCGGCTTTTGTTAACATAAAAGGATTTATACACCCCACATTGTGATATGGCCACTAGTCTAAGTGAATGGACATCATGTGCACTATTTTGAGATGTAAGGTGGTTGGAGGTAGTTGACGAGAAACCCTGGACCTAGTTTTCGTGCTATTTTGCACTTGTCAGCAAGGTCTACCTGCAATCTTGAAGGAAGTGATAGCTTATAGTAGAATCGGTAGTGTATTACGCAGCTTCAAAGTCAGAGACGTTACAACTGATCTTGCTAGCCTGTGCCAAATTGCACGAAACCTAGGTCTAGGATTTCCTGGCGACTACTTACGACTACCACCATGCATGAGTTACTGACACTGTTACCGTATAACCTCTTTGTATGGATAAATTGTGATTATCTACCTTGATTATGGTGGATAGTATCTGGACAAGGCCACAATAATAGTGAGTTCTGCACAATGCAATCATATCCACAAACATTGATCAGTTTAAACATGGGAAGCAGCTGTTTTAGAGACAACCAATTGTCAAAACAGAACTGCCTATCACTATTCATATTTTTGTAGCTAGTATTCTGATGTTTGAGCAGGAAGTCAAATTTAAAACATGATAGAATACACATCTTGAAATAACGTATTTTCTTACTTTATTTAAATTATATCATAGAGATTTATTTATTTACTGTCTTATTGTTCAAACAATCAACTGGTAATTCATTATTTGTTACATTTATTAAGTCTATTTGTCTTCTTGAGTGTATACTTGGTGTAAATAGATAAACGTGAGTCAATTGACCGTAATTATAAGTGAAAATAATAGACTTGAGTTACCTGATAGTTAGTAAAGATTTACTTTGGAAAAATATTCCCAGCGAACATAAGTAAAATGATTGATTTTTTTGTCAATTCTAATCTTTATATATTTGTGACAAAGTCTTTTGGTTTGAGAAGTGTATTCATGATAGTAAACTAGAACTATCTGTAAACTAATTACAACGTAGTGATATTTACCGTGTTTATCAGATCTGTGTTACACTAAACATAATTTCATTGACAGTCGATAAATTAGTACTGTTCTAAGCATATGAGCGAATAGAGTTTGTACTGCATTTGAGTTAAAAATGAAGGTCATCGAGTCCTGACTCAGTAATTTGTTGATAACATGAACAATAAATACCATATCCATTCAGACCACCGCTATCCTTCTTATTATTCTTCTGTCAGGCTATTGCACATCATCAGAGAACGTTTCAAAAGCATGGTACCATCATCGCCAGTTCCTATTGGATCACGATATTTATATCATTAAACAACAGTGAATGTTAGATTTCTTGTCATTTTACTAATTTCAACGATCTAGTTTTGATATGCTTGTTCAATAGTTTATCTGGTTCTCATTAAATAAGCCATCTTAACTAGCTTAGGCTCTCAACCTCTTAGTCTTTCGTACTTCATTGTTCGATCCCAGGTAAATTATTCTACCTTGCTCTATATATAGACTATATTTTGAAGTAATTATTATGGAACATGTTGGGATACTCAGGAAAATATCCCAAAATTTATTCTGTTAAGTCTAACGCTATCCTTGGACTTGAAATGGTGTTATTTTCTTATTGGTCAATATTTATTTCACATGTCGTTTTCCTACTGGTCAATATTGCACAATGTTATTTTCTGTTTTATGGTACGATGTGGTCTGTTTGATTGGTATATAAACAGAGTATGTCTGAAATACAATGATTCATATCTCAGAGGCTGAGGCTTGCGTTGTAGACTCAACTGGCTGGGCTAGACAGGGGAGCGGGACCAATCAGAACCCTAGGTTGTTCTCACGTGTTTACGCGTCTTTGGTCCGATCGATAAGTCACTGTACATTCATCAGCAGTCGATAAGACATAACAGAACGCAAGAATGAATAGAATGAAATTAATTTCGAATTTCCTTACCAAGTTATCCTGAGACAGAACTGTGTATGTTAACATTTTGTAATAAATGTTTCGTGAATGACTTATACGTTTCCAAGTTTGTTTATTTTATGTGAATATATGCATGCGCCAGTAATGTCAGATTATTAAATTTCAAATAAAATCTGATGTTCTTATTCAGATGTGATATACCTTAAGCTTTTTTTTAATAACCATAACAGAACGACCACTTGTGTAAATTGGTGGTGTACAGTTCCCTTCAACATCATAAGACATTTTGAGTATGATATTCCTAGTAGTAATTACTGGAAAATACGAAATATGTTAGATAGTCATTTGGTGCACAAGTTTGAAACTGATATGAACATTAGTTTACCAAGGTCGGATATGATTTAAAAGCATGAATTAATAAGAAACAAGGCAGTTCTCATTATCTTATGCTTTATTTAGCTGTGTGAATATAATAAGACGATAATTAAGGTTCGACTGCAAAGAATTGTTATTAAGTAAGATTTCAACACTTAAAAGACATTTTAACCAACCTAAGATTACAATGGAAAAATGATTAGTTCAACAGAATATAGTATTCTATTATATTACTGAATAATGACGCCAATCAAAGTTTAAAGTCAAAAACTTAACTCATACCAATTTGATAGTTTAATTTGTATTTTCAATTTTCTGCATTTACATGATCAAATTTTTGTTTTAAATATTGATTAAAATGTACTATACGGGGTATTCAAAAAAAAATGGCATAACTGAGTTCCATAACTTGATATTTGATAAATGGATCAAAATATTAAAGATCATCAAACTGACTGATTATATGAAACAACATAATTGTTCGTAAAGAGAATATTACCTACTATGAGTATAGAAGGCGTCAACAACAACAACAACAGCAACAACAACAAAAAAACCCGATGATTTTTAACTGCTACGATTACAAATATTTTTATACCTGAATTCAATTCTGTTTCTGTGAACTATAAGGATCTTCTTGTAATGAATTACAAAAGATATTGTAACTTAACGTTTTGTTTGAGGAAAACAATGTTATTAGAACATCATTTATCTTTGAAAATATAAGAAAAATAGCCGTAATACAATATTGAAAATTTTGTAACTTAGTATTACAACTGAACACGTTTAAATAGTTACTCAATTATGTAAAATAATTCAATCAATAAATTACTTTCTTTCATTATGTTAACTAGTTCCTGTTTCAGATGATATGGTTTCCATAACCGTAGACTCTGTTGCTGTTATTGATACAGATGAGGTCGTTGGCTGTGATAACATAGTTGTACTAGATTCAAATTTATTTTCTGTTGACTCTGATTCCAGAGTTGTAGTTGTTTCTGCTGACGTATTTGATTGGGATGTCGTTGATGTTATGGCCTCAGATGTCCTTACTGATTGAAGCTCCATAGATGTTGTTGATAGGGATGGTTCATTTGTTGACATTGGTAATGAACTCTGAATCTTCGTGGTTGGTGATGTAGATGTCTCTGTTGGTGAAGATCCTGAAGGCGTCGTCGACTCAGTTGTTGCCGTCGATTGGAATGACACTGGTGTTGTTAACACAGGTGAGATCCCCGCTTCTGATGACTCGGATGTGGATATCGTTGTTTTTTCAGATCCAATTGGTGGCGTTGATGCTGTTTCAACGGTTACTGTCGAATTGGATACCGTTGCCATCAAAGACTTTGGTTGTATCATTACCGTAGTCGATTCCTGTGAGTTTATTTCAGGTGTTGTAGAGGTTGTCATTTCTTCAGAGGAATTATTTAACAAAACAGGCGACCATAACGAGTTATTATCTGAAGTATTTTCTGTTGATATTTTTTCATTGATTTCTGTAGTACTAGTAGTGATTTCAGCAGTAATGGTAGTAGTAGGAGTAGTAGTTGTGCTCTCAGTAGTATTACCAGGAATAGTGTTATTATTATTATTATTATTAGTTTTTGTTATTGTAACAGTAGTAGTAGTGGAAGTAAAAGGGGTGGTGGGTGGAGCAGTAATCGTAGAAGTAGTGGTAGAAGTATTATCGAGAATAGTAGTATTAGCAGTGGTGGAAGTAGTAGTTGTTGTGAAAGAAATAGTAGTACTATTAGTGGGAGTGGTAGTAGCAGTAATAGTGGAGGTAACAGGGGTGGTAGGAGTAGTAGTAACAGTAGAAGTAGTGGTAGAAGTATTATCAGGAATAGTAGTATTAGTAGTGGTGGAAATAGTAGTTGTTGTGGAAGCAATAGTAGTACTATTAGTGGGAGTAGTAGTATCAGTAACAGTGGAGGTAACAGGGGTGGTAGGGGTAGTATTAACAGTAGAAGTAGTGGTAGAAGTAGCAGTAGTACTTGTAGAAGTATTATCAAGAATAGTAGTAGTATTAGTATTGGAACTGGTAGTAGCAGTAGTAATAGTAGGGGTAGCGGGGGTTGTAATAGTAGTGGTGGGAGTAGTAGTTGTTGTTGTTGTAGTTGTAGTAGGACTAGTAGTTGTAGGAGTAGTAGTAGTAGTAGTAGTAGGAATTTCTGGCGGTGGTGGATTTGTTGTTGTGTGTAAATGTTCAATGTTCATCAATATGGATTCTAGATCATTTGTACCCAATCCACTTGAACTGAAAACGGAAGAACCGGAATTACCATTTTCATCACTGTTATCATCGTCGTCATCATCATCATCATCATCTTGATCACCATCGTCATTATCATCATCGTCGCCTCTACCATCATTACCACCATTACCATTCATAGATACCTGAGCTTTAGGAAGAGAAGGAACACTGAAAGTCTGATTAGTTTCGGAGGCGTGTTCTGTAAATTGTACAGGCTGCTCATTTACTTGAATCGTTGACTCGGAAGAGGTTTTTTCATTTTGGTTAAAATTATTATTCCCAGTTACTATAGAAGGTAAACTAGATGCGGTTGTGGTATCCATCTGTGAAGTATTCTGAATCTCAGATGACATGTTAAAATTTATCCCAGGAGTTGAATTCTCTAAATTATTTGGTGCTATGGTTATGCTTGCTGGAGTAGATTTAGTGGACTCCATTAAAGGTGAAATTGTTTGATTGTTCTCTGAATGATTAGTATTTACTGAAGTGTTAACAACTGTAGTAGAATTTTTGAGTACCGTTTCACGACGTTTCGAAATAACATGACTGTGATTAGCAGAAATTTGTGTACTATTTATTTCTTGTGGTGTCTTAACTACTATTGATGAATTACTAGTAGTAGTTTGAACTAAAACATTTCGACTAGTAATCAAGCATGCGTAAGGCAAACGATGTTCACAATCACGAGCTTGCCATGTAAGTCGTGCAATATCTAATGACAGACAATAAGTCATACCTTCCACAAGATTATTTGCGTCATCATCAGTTATACCCAATATTTTCGCAGGAGCAGTTCGACCATCCGACCAGTTTAATATCACTTTCCACTTAGTAGCATTTTCACCATCCACTCCAGTATGTCTTGGTCTCATTAATTTACCCCCTGTCCAATATGATCCAACTGGTACTGTACCCATGAGGCTTACTAAGTGTATAATCTGAAAATTACGAGAAAAAACACTTGATTTGTATTGATTACATTATTATTATAAAACACATAATTCAGTATAGAGCCTTAGTGAATACCTAATTGAAAAGTAATAATTCTTCGCTCTGATGACTTTTTCCTTAGGAAAATAGTTTTACGATTAAATAGTTTATATTTTAAGTTGATAAATATGAATTAGAAAGAATCACTAACAGTAATGATAGCCGATAAAGCACTTGTTTATCATCCAAATTAATGAGTTTGAAAATAAGTATAGTGAAAATAGTTCCAGGTAATAATATCTGATGTACATAATTTACACATGAAGTACAGTCAGTAAATTTTAATGATAATAATAAAACTGAAGGGTGTCTCCAGGTCGTTCGCTTAACTAGGATAAGAAACTATGACTGATCAGTGTCACTGGATAAAATGTCCACTTTTAGAAGATTGAGGGCAAGTTAATGACGAAAAGATTTCTTTGGTATTAATTTTTTGTAACTCACAAATTAAGAAAATAGCCTTAGCTCTTCAATGAGTACGATGATTATAGTAAGGGTATCTCTGTGAGATGAAATAATTACTCCCTACCCATATTTCAATGTTACAATGTAGTTATTCTCAAATAAAAAGGTCAATAGTTTCCCGTTGCTATAATAACTAGTATAATTGACAATTATTTTCTTTTAAATTAGTCTTGATGAAAGAAATTTATTCAAGAGAAGATGAAACGGTGAAAATTCCCTTCTTTATACTTGGTAAAGTAGAAAAAAGTGCACGAAAAAATTTCTTTTCAATCAAGTGATATCTTTAGTGATTTTCAATTTAAGAATTGTAAAACTGACATTTATGAGGTTCTGTACTAATCTTCAGAGAATTTCCATCCATTCTCACAGTGAAGGATATTCAGTTACTTGAAATAAAACAGTCCTTAAAGTATATGCCTCATGTCCCTTTACGGTTACTGTCTCTTTTTCTTTCCACACAAATCATGGGTTCCTAAATTTACTTCAGGTGAAACATTAGATCTAGTTTCTTACTGGATTAGTACCAGGATATTAGATAATGAAACTCAGTATATTGTAATCGTACTAAATATTTAAATGAAAGAATACAATATAGTATATTTACATATTTACTTTAACTTGATTGGTCACCTTATGCATTCGATTGTGTAATATTTTTTTATTTTATCACATTTACAGAACACTCTTAATCCCGTAAATGTCCATATGACTACTAAATGGTAGGCACACATGCTTATAACAATTCTCATAACAAAGAAAAAAATGTCAATAAACTTTATTTATAATCAAGGTTTAGTATAACCAAAACACTCATTTTTGTTTACAGTGTTATTTTGTCACTCAATTTATACACATTATCAGTATTGGAGATTTGTGGAGATTGTTGTATTTTAACAGTTGAATTCACAAGTCGATCTAAGCTAGACCACCATTAAAAACCTAGAAGCACTGGACAGCCATTTCGTCCGCACATAGGACTCGAACTCAGGACCTCTGGTCTCGCTCATGAACATTTAACCTCTAGACCACTGAACTGGCATCCATCGATGTTTATTTTATTATAAGAAAAATCTAAATGAAATAATGGTTCATTTAAATAATTCTATTATAATAATCTAATCTAAATATAAATTTAATGATTTCGACAATTCACAATTATATAAACAATTTATTCATTATTTAATACATTGTAAACTAATCAAAAATACATTTAGACATATAACCACTTTATTCTAAAAATTTTTTTGTATTTTTGTACTGAGAGGTTAAATATTGTCTAGTCAGTGCATATAAAGAAAATTATTGAAACGTGAATATTGTGACGTATAACAACATGTATGAATGAAAAAGTGCATGAATATATTAACATTGAATTGAATATTTATTACATCATATAATATTATTATTATACACTTTTATTGTACAATATTCAATATTTCCTTCTTTATTATTATAGAAAAGAATACTAAATAAGTTATAATACCTAAAACAAAATAAGTGCATATTATTATGCTAGACATCAGTCGGGCCAGTCAGTAACAACGTAGAACTTCGTACGTACGTACATCAGTTCGAGTTGCCATACCACATTAGCACACAGATGCAGTGGTCGATTCAAATCCCATATTGGTAGAGGTAGTAAAAGTATAAGCAGTAATCGTAAACATTAGGGTTTGAAGATTTTACTCATGGAGTATAATTCAGTGAAATTTGGAAAGAGCAAAAATGGGACATGAAGAATTCAGATTAGAATTCGGGAGAACACAAAGAGTGGATGCACCTGAGCCATTGCAAACGATTTTGAGCCATGTTATTCAGGGTCTCTAACCATTGGTTGCTATCATCTTGCAGTCCCCAACCAGGTAGTCTACACCTACCAACATGACTCAGTCCACTTATCATTGACTTCATGGATTTGTGCCATGTTTTGTATCGGGCCGCCTCTAGCTTTCTTCCAACCTACTCCTTTACCACTGAACATAGCACGTCGAGGTAGTCGGTGATTGGGCATACGTAACACGTGTCCCAGCCATCTCAACTGATGAAGTTTCACTATTTTATCAACTGATTTGCCATCCTTACCTAGTACCTGTGTCCTAACAACTGCGTTACATACTCGATGGTTAGATGAAATGTAACAGTTTTATCAAATTTGTAATGAAAGTATTATCATTGATAGTTTGATCTATTTACTAATATATAATGATGATCAATTCAAAAAAGATGAAAAATGAATATCCCTTCTGATATTAATCAAAATATACTAATTAGTGATTGGTTTCAATAGGTATTTCATGAAGCTCTAGTGAGAAGCAGTGACTAATGGAATTCAACCGGGTCTGTTGTGAGATGGCAACTCACGGAAGACAATGGTGACGCAATTTCATGGGTGGGTTGAAGTTAGACATTAACACCATTGGTAGCCGGATCAGTGCTCTAGGGGTTGAGTACTCGTACACGAAACCGATAGGTCTGAGATTCGAATCTCGCGAGGCGGGATCATGGATGCGCACTGACACTGAGGAGTCCCGTGGTAGGATGAAACGGCCGTCCAGTGCTTCCAGGTTTTTCATGGTGGTCTAGCTTCAATTGACTTATGATTTCAACTATTAAAAGTACTATAATATCCACAAAAATCCCTTCTGATATTAATACATATTCTGTTTGTCAACTTGATAGGTAACGAAATAGATCCATTGGAACATAAAATAAGAGAAACTGATTCAGAGTTCTTTCTTTATTCTGACAAATTCAGTTTTAAAACTAATATATCTAGTCTAGTTCTTAAAGTTTATTAAAAAGTTGAAAAGAATATCATAATAATATCTACATCAAATAATGAGTTTGAAATAGTTTTTGTGTAGGTTTTCAATCAGCTTAATAAATATCTTAGTCATCACTTGAAAAAGTTTGAAATAATATTGTTAAAACATTAAAACACTAATTTTAACAAATCAAGTACGATAATGATGTAATTTTTGATTGAGATGATGAACCGATTGATGTTAGACCACCCATTGAAAAGCTGGAAACACCGGACGGCCGTTTCGTCCTAGTATGGGACTCCTTGGCGATGCGCATCCACGATCCCGCTCGCGGGACCAGAACCCAGGACCTTCGGACGAGCACGCGATCGCTCAACCTCTAGACCACTGGGCCGGCATCCAACGGCGTCAATGTCCAACCTCAAATAATCCACGAAATTGTGCTACCGTCCACCATTGTCATCAGTGAGTTACTATCTCACAACAGACCCGGTTGATCTCTACTGGTCACTAATGAGCACATGATGACTATTATCAGAAAGAAGTTTTATAGAGATTGTAGTAATTTTACTAGTGGAATTCATGAGTTAATTAAAGCTAGACCACCGTGGAAAACCTAGAAGCATAGATTAAAAATACATTTTTTGAAATAAATCAGATACGTGTTAGATTTTTGATACAAATTTTTATTTGATCAATAGCTTTTTTCTTAGTGTGTATCCTCCAGAAGCAATTTATTCGATACATTTTTTTAACATCACCCCCTATTACCACAGTTATTGATATGAGCGCAGTTATCAAAAATCTAACGTTGTAAAACAGTATAACGTAGGTATCTTAGGTTTTTCAGTTGAGTGAAAATGAAAATCCATTGTGCTACATATTCCTAAATCATCTAAATTAGGTCTACATCAAAAACTGAGTTTCGACGGTTTTATTGATTATCGTACGATGAATTGACAAAACTGATAACAGGACCAGAAAGTTTTGTGGGAGGTGTTTTTTCTGCGCATTTTGGAAGTTAGAACTGAATAAATTCATTTTGTATTGTTTATTTGGAACTTTCCATTGATTATCCCATTGAATATCAACTGTAGGATGCAGGTACATCCAGCCGACGAGTCCCAAATAGGACGAAACGCGCGTCCTGGATTCAACTACTAGCCACCATCCATCTTTGCTTAGAATCTAATAGTTGATGGGTTAAAACTCCAGTCAGTTTGTAACAATAAGAAATTATTATCACTGCTACTGATAGCAGTTTTTAATCAGCAAACCAAACGTCAAATTTTTACATTTACTTATTAACGAAGGGTAGCAAATTAGTCACGAAAATAATTTCAACTAACTGATTTTGTCATCACACAACAATACTGATGAGTTCCGAATTAGGATCAGTTTTTAATAAGACAACCAATAAGAATGCCTAATAAAACAATGCTTAATCAAATGAAATGTGTCACAACTCATAAAAATAGAACAATCAGTTACATGATATGACTATCAGTTATTAAAATTGTATGTTAGATATATTTATGATAAGCGGTAATATTATGCTGTACTGATTGTAAAAAAAGAACACATATGTACTTCGAAGTTGTTGGTGCCATTCAGCTCGTTACTTGCTGCTATTTGAATGCAAAACTTTGCTCAACACTTCAAAAAGGATAATTTTTGCCTAAAAATCAAGACACTGATTAGTTTTTGTAATATCGTGAAACCATAATTTATGTATTTCTATTCATAAGCATTCTTTCATCCATTACTATTGTTAAGTTATCTTATTCATCTTGGAATGCATTTCTTTATCTTTACTCAACCTTCTGGTGATAATAAAAATTATTTTAAATGTACAGTTAGATTGTGACAAAGTATTTCATTATAGACTCCCATTAAATAACTTTGGTCTACACTGATGAAATGCAGTGTTTACAAAATAAATATGTAATACAACCACGAGATTGTTTGATTTTTAGTTCGATTCTAAAATGGGTTGTTATATAGAAACATTGTTAATTCAATACTCTTTCTTTCCAGATAACTTTCAAACTTAATTTGATGTATGATAAGAAGCATCTTCAAATTAATAGAGTTCCCTAAAACCTTATTGTGTAAAATACAGATGTGAATCAAACAAATTTACAGTGACAGTCGGATGTGACTAAGAATAACGACAAAAACAGGACATACTTGCAATGAGTGCTACAACTTATCTTAAAAGTTTTGACGAGTGAAACAGTCTTTTTTGAACAAACTATAACTAGGTGACCACCGAAATCCAATGAGCATTAAACAGTTGATTGGCATAGTATTTGACATAGTAAAGTGGATCCACTTACCAGATGTTAGTCTAATTGAATTTGGTTCATAGTATACATCATCTTCAAATTAAAAAAATTTTAATCACCACTCATATTAAAAATAATGATATCCCTTTCTACATGGTTTTCTACATTATCATTCTGCATACATTAAACCATGAGCCTCCTAGATCCTTACCGGTGTAATATCATAGGTTTTCACTTATGAGGAGCTTTGAACCTCCTGATTTTTAGTAATTTTCCACCTAGTGTTAGCTTATAACGGAAATCATATCTGGTTAAGTTTTTGTGTAAATACTTTCCAGTTGTATGGATCTAAAAATGTGTGTCTCAACAACACTAAACTTATATTTCTTTACCATTTTTAGAAGAGTGTTATCTTTTTCATGTTCAACAATTGTGCTTACTTTATAAATGTCACACCAAGCAGATTCTTAATACAAAACAATATAATAAACAGATATGTAATTTAATTCATTTTGAAAAGAATTTCTGGTGAGACTATAATTTATGAACGACCTTTGAGCGACGTTAGACTGACCATGAGAGTGTCTACCCGATAACTAGGACCAAATGAGGGTTTCTCGAGTGGAATAAATTAATGTGAGGAATTAGAATTATGATTTACAGTTGATGGTTAAGGTTAGGAAATAGATTTATGGTTTTCATCGCGAACTGGCATCAGCTATAATGCCAAAACCCTATTTAGCCAAATGGACTGAATGAATTTCGCGCCAAAATCCAAGACCTGTTATCTTATACCTGATTGGTCCGTCCATAAATTATAGTCTTGCCGAACTTCCCTTTGTAAATACATTTTCTTTCTAACTGCTTGAAAAATGAATAAAGAAAGTTGCATGTTCAGCAATTGTTTATTGTTTTTTCAAGCTAACTTGAAATAAAGCACAGTAATCAATGAAAACTTCATGGATTATAAGCTATCATAAGCTCATATGACATGTACTTAAAAAAATAGTCAACACTTACCTCATCATTTGATGTAACAGATAATAAATGACCTTGATATAAATCAGTTGGTTTAACATTTCCATTATTTGTTCGATTGGTTAATGCTGAAGTAATTCTACGATTAGTTATAAATCTATGACAAGCTAATTCAGCTTTTGCCGCAGTTAATCCCCATACTCTACTACCTTGTTCACGTGTTGTAGCTAAAATAACTCTTCCTTTTATAGAGTGTCGTCGAGATGAATCAGTGGAATGATTTGATGGAATTTTTGTAGACTTTGATGAATTAGTTGAAGGATTAGTAGTATTAGTTAAATTAATAGTATGTTTTTCTATTGGTGGTGATAAAGTTGTTCTGGTATATCCGATAGTTGTCCCATTTATATCATTGTTTGTAGTTGTTGGCAAAGTTGTATTTTGCATATTTATTGTCTCATTCGATAAATTGCTCTCTTCTTTTACATTTAAGGATGAATTATTGAAATGTATTGAGGAAGTGTTTATAGAATTCAGCAAAATTTTTGATGAGTTATTTATGTTACTGCTCAAAGAACCAATAGTTGTTTCAGTGGTTTCCCCATTTGTTGTTGTAATTACACCATGAGTTGTAGTTGGTTCAGAAGTTGTAGTTGTTATAGGCTCAGTAGTAGTAACAGTTCTAGTAGTACCTGTGGTAGGTGTAGTAGTAGTTGTTGTTGCATTACCGGTCAAATTTATCTTATTATTTGGCATACATATTAGAAAATCTACAAAACATATTAGTAATACTAAACGAACTAATGACAATCTAATAATCATGGTATTCAACAAGAATAATTTAGCCTTTTATGAGGTTATCACATTTATATGTTAACTTGAATCAAATTTATTTAAGCTTATCAGACATTGATAAACCAATAAAAATGTCAAAAACAATGCACTTAGACAAAGTTTTATTTTCAATATTATTATATTGAATTTTCGGAGAAAAAATAAAATGATAAATTATTCAGTAATTGTGAAAACATTAAACTTATGACCTAAATGTTTGATAAAGTTAACTATTAGGTAAAATTAATTATAAAGTATAACTAATCAAACTCTGCCTGTAGCTCTCCTAAAGTTACTGCCGGTCCCAAGCTCACACGAAAGATGAGGGTTGGGTTATGGGATGGGTAACCCCATCCCATAGAAAAAAATCTTGCCAAAAAAAAACGCAAAACAGATTAAATAAATTAAACCATTTAATTCTACCCTGAAAGTTGAAGGAAAAATTATGACGCCTCAGGATGAAAGCCTAAATTCTTCAGAAGTCACAAGGTCGATGCCCCTTCCAACAACCAGAGCAACAATTTTTATAGATACATGGAATCCTAAAGGGAAACGAAAAAGAGGGAGGCCAAAGAACATATTACGTCGGGAAATAGAATTGCTTTCCTTTAGGATTCCAAGTCAGGGCTTGCCTCGTGATGCAGTTTGGTGATTTGCGCAATGTATGTTTTATCTATTTCCATCGTCTTTCCCTAATTTCCCCTTCATCTGGAAGCTGGTTTGTTCTCTCCCTGAGAAGAAGGCTGTTGCTGATGGTATTCGGTCAATGGAGGTTGAGTATCTTGCGTAGGCAACTATTTATAAATACTTGTACCTTTTTCATGATGGTTGTAGTAGTTCTCCAAGTTTCAGCTCCGTACAATAGAACTGACTGTCTTGACGTTCGTATTGAAGATTCTGACTTTGATATTTGTTGAAAGTTGTTTTGAGTTCCATACGTTCTTCGAATGTAGGAATGCGGCGCTTACTTTGTCAGTCTTCACGTTTACGTCTGCATCTGAACCTCCTTGTTCATCTATGATACTTCCCAGGTACGTGAAGGATTCCACCTCTTCCAGAACTTCTCCTTCAGGTGTGATTGGGTTGGTGTTCTCTGTGTTATAGTTGAGGATCTTGCTTTTTCCTTTCTGTATGTTGAGGCCAACTGATGCATAGGCTTCTGCTACGCTAGCTGTCTTCATCTGCATTTGTTGTTGTGTATAGGATTGGAAGGCTAGGTCATCTGCGAAGTCCAAATTTTTTAGTTCCTTCTGAGCTGTCCATTGTATTCCGTGCTTTTCTTCATATATAGAGATCTTCATAATCCAGTCGACCACCAAAAGAAAGAGAAAGGCCGAGAGTTAGCAGCTCTATCTAACTCCTGTCCTCTTTTGGAATGCATCTGTCAGCTGTTATCCATGCACGACTTTGTACTGTAGTCCGTCGTATGAGTTCTGGATAATGTTGACAATCTTCTCAAGAACTCCATAGTGTCAAAGAAGTTACCATAATGCTGTCTAGTGTTTCTTTAGCTTCAGTTTCATCTTGGCGACAACCAGGTGGTGATCTGAATTTAAGTCAGCTCCTCTTTCGGTTGTCACGTCTTCCATTGTCCTTCTGAATTTTTTATTGATGCAACTATGATCTATCTGGTTCTCTGTGGTCTGATCCGGTTAGACCCATGTAGCTCTGCGTATGCGTTTGTGTGGGAATATTGTGCCACCTATAACCAATTTGTCGAACGTACACAGATTTGCAAATCTTTCCCCATTTTCGTTTCTCTCTCCCACTCCATGTCATCCCATGATATCTTCATATCCGGTGTTGTCTATTCCGACTTCGGCGTTTAGGTCTCCCATCAGAACGGTGAGGTCCTTTCTTGGGCACTTCGCTATGATTGATTGAAACCTATCGTAGAACTGATCTTTATTGTCGTCATCGCTATCATTGTTGGGCGCATAACATTGGATAACATTCATTGTAATTCCCTCCTTTGTTTTGAAGGATGCTTTGATGATTCTGGATCCGTGAGATTCCCATCCTACAAGTGCACTTCGTGCTACTTAAGACAGCATTAGAGCAACTCCCTGAGTGTGTGGAGCATTTCCCTCTTCGTGGCCGGAGTATAGCAGCATCTCTCCCATATCTAGCCTTTGTTGTTCAGCTTGGGTCTAATGGGTTTCGCTGATTCCCAATACTGCCAATCTGTATCTCCTCATTTCTGTTGCCATTTGACTTGTCCTCCTAGTCTCCCACATTGTCCGGACGTTCCAGTTACCTATAAAAATTGTTGCTCTGGTTGTTAGAAGGGGCATCGACCTTGTGTCTTCAGAAAAATTAAAGGTTTCATCCTGAGGCGTCATAATTATTCCTTCAACTCCCAGAGCAGAGTTTAAATGGTTTGAATTATTTTTTTTCTGGTTAGCGTTTTTTTAGCGAGTTAGTTTATTACGGGATGGGGCCGCTAACCCTATACCCAACCCTCCTACCTTACTCGTGCTTCGGACTGGCAGTAACTTTAGGGAAGCTATAGGCTGAGTTTCGGTAACTAGAAGCAGATATGAAAAGGGTGAATAACAACTGGAATGAACTGGAAAGAAATGCCTAGGACAGGGTTGAATGTAGAGTGATAGTGGGCGGCCTATACTCTTCCAAAAGGGATAACAGGCGTAAGTAACAAATACGACTAATCAATAAAACGTTCTGATAAATATAAGTAGTCTGCATTTCACTCATTGATAAGTGAAATTTGTCCAGATGAGTAGAAAATATAATCATTTGTATTGTTTGTGTTTATAACTCATGTTTTTTCTATGTAACGAATGAAAAGTCTGTTATTGGTATATTTCCTTAACATTTTTTTAGGTTCAGAAAAGTGAACTTTTATTGGCTGGAGTTGAACTCTCTCCGTGACAAATTTCGCTTAACTTATGTTATGTACAAGTTGGTACTTATTAACAAAGGACACCTTAAATCTTCAGAAAACAGAGGTTCACTGTTAGAACTGGATCTGTGTCACCGATCTTCATAGTTTGAGAAGTTACCCTTGTGTTATTCAGAAACTAAATAATCTCCTATGGGGCTGATATATTTACATTAGTTAATCACTAATTGTTATGTACTGGAGAAACATTTCATGATAATTTTCATAAGAAATTTATAACTAGGTATTATTCATTGTGAACTAACAACAATAGCAATACTTTTGAAAACTAGAGAGCACTAAGCTGCTACATCATGATAGAATGGGATTCTTGAATAGAGAGTATTCACAACTTTGTCAGGGATCGAACCTAAGACCAACATTTTTTGACCTATAAGCCACTGAATCGGTATCTAATGGCCTCAATTTACAACTTTTATTAGGATGTATGCTATATTCATAGTCCCTCTGTGTATTATAAGACCACAAAATATTGATTTTTTTCTTTTTAGTTTCATCTGTCAATTAAGAATCGATTTATTAGTTTAGTTATTGATAATGATAAAATTGTAATCTACATTTTTTTATGCGTCAACTTTTATTTTCAGTAATTCAATTTACCATAGATACATATTTCTCTTTAAAACTAAAAAAAATTTTTCACATTTATAAACTTCATTAGATTATTTTTACATTTATATCGTTCATGCTTAAATTCATTAAATACATCTCAAGTAGAAATATATGCCAGTCAAAGATCAATTGAAAGTTAAACAAACAATGTAATTAATATATGATTGTTCTGATGGTAAAAATACTTCTATAAATAGTTATAAATATTTGGTAAATATTAAAGATATCCAATATCTTCCATATTTTCTGGTTATTAAAATAAAAGAACAGAACTCAGGATAAGTAATATTCTTCAAACAATTATATCTTACAAATAAATTGAGCATTGGGTAAAAAGTCAGTTACAAAGTAGGTCTAGGCACATATATGAATTGGTCCAAATTGCCATACCTTATTTGCACAGCAAGATGAACACCAGATTCGTAAGAGCAGTTAACTCAATGGTGTAATATATAAACGAGAGATTGTGTATCAAAAAAGAGAGAATTGGTGCTTAGAAAGGTATGAAATATTTCAATCTAATGGTTTAAGGGAAGACAGAGAGTGTATACACCGACGCCGTTGTGATCGATTCTGAGCAATATCACCCAGTCTCCGACCATTGGTTACGATAGTTACGCGGACCCTAACCAAGTAGTCTGCATCTAACAAGATGGCTAAGACTGGAAGTTAGTGACTTCAAGCACTGATGGCATGTTTCTATCCAAGTTAAGCAACGATGGGTAGAAAGCCAATAAGAAACATATTTTTACTTTACATCCCAATGAGTAGAAACACTGTGTTTCTGATGTTTCTAGACTTAATGTAAGCCACTTTTTCAGAGTAAATAAATAAGCGAATTAAATCAACACGGGTTTAAATAGTACGAAGAAAGCAATGATTGTTTCCTATGTACTGGGCTCGATCGCCTGGGGGTTTCAGGTGTGTGCCGTCAGAGGGTTTCGTACCAAAACGAAACAACTATCCAGTACTTCCTGGTTTCAGTTTCTTAACATCAGTTCGCGAAGTAAACTACTGAAAAAAAATACCAATCAAACATTTTAACGTCATATCTTAATTGGGAATATTTAACTAACAGATCAGCTATCCACAGATTGCCGATTAGAATCTGGTGCATCTCATGCTTTTAAACTGTAATAACAAGTTATCTACTTTGTTTAACTGCTTTGGAGTCCCAGAGACCTTAGTGACTAATAAAGGCTTATAATTCTTTGCAGAATCACTTAAATATTTTTGTAGTACAAATGGAATAACGCATCTATGTTCTTCATCCTATCATCCCCAATCGAATGGACAATCAAATCGTTTTGTCGACACGTTTAAATGAGCACTACTGAGAGGGGGAGACGAGGGGATGACTGGACAGATAATCACAAACTTTCTAACGGCCTACAGAACCACACCGAACCCAAATGTCCCAGGTGGGAAGTCCTCTGCTGAGGCCATGTTTAGA